GCTTCTTCAGATGGAAAACAGAGAGGAACTAAAGTCACATAAAAAGCATATTAGGACAAGTATAGATAAATTGTGAAAAAATCATCAATTAATTTGGTATTCAACATTTCCTCTGATGGAGACATATAGAGAGACATGTATACCACTTGGAATTAAAAGCAACATTTTTCACAATTGTATTAGTGCCATTTATTTTTGCATCTTGGGATTTCTGCTATCCTCTATCTCCTACTTCTAACATCATTCAATATTCCATATCCTCCACTGGACTGTTACTAAGGCCCTATCTTCATTTTTTCTCTCCCTCCCTTTTGTTGTACTGATGCAAACCACGAGGTTTCCCAATGTCTGATCATACAAACCCCTCCTCTTTGCTCATTGTGCATATGCGATTTTGTCTGGACTAAGGAAAGCCCCACATTCAGAACATTACTATTAGTTTCTAGGACAAGCATGTGGGTTAATTTCATATGCTTTTGTAACAGAAAGGACAACAATTTTAACAGCCACATCATCTGCCAGGGATGGAGAAACGGTTCAATAATAGAAATCACTATCAGCAAACTACAATTTCTAGGAATTCTTTGGAGGAGGCTAAGACAATGTTGTTACTGTAAAAACTGTGCATGCTTATAGCATTGCCTTTATCATGTATGTCTCCTCTTTAAATGTGACACACTGACAATATCAAAGCAGCAATGAAAATTAAAACTGTTTATCGTGGATGTACATATTCTTTATTCTTAGTTCAAATACTAAGTGAAAACTGGGGAGAACTGAAGAAAGAAAAGGGAAAACACTGCTATTGCAATCCATTGGCTTTTGAATCTCTGTTTTATTATTATAAATTATGATAATTGGGTCATTTTGTGGTCACATTAATAAGAATAGAAACAATTAATGAAACTACTAGGTATCTCCTATGATACTAGCACATGATTCAAGTTGTAAAGACCTTATTTTCTTAGCTTTGACAAGTCTGCCCACTTGTGGTCAGATTACTAATAACACTTGGATAGACTATATTACTGTACACACTATATTTCAAAACCGATGAGATGAAGTTGTTAATATGAGAACAATAAAGTATTTTTATATGGAACACTGAGAAGTAATAAAAACAATTCCCAGTAGAACACATTTATTAATATATATCCCTATACTGTAAATTGAAATCTGAAAACTAAATATAAGTATATGAAAAAAAAGACACGCATGTGAGAAATAATATTTAGGAAAAGCCAGGCTTATAAAGAAGTGCAAGCTTAGATTTAAAGTTTAGCCTTATATATTATGCTACCTAATTCAAAACATTGTTTTACTCATTTGGATTTTTTCCACCCAAAAGGATAATTCTAAGATAACAACACCAACATGAACAGCCACTAATCTACCACCAGATCTTTTGTATGTTTATTTTAATAGCATTCAGAATCTGCTTGTATAAATATTACAAATAACAATAGATACTCCAACTGTCAAAATCATGGCACACAAGAACTGTCTTATGAACCAGTTTATTTATTTGTAACACTGCAAGATAGAACGCATTGATTTCTCCTTTAGCCATGTATGGCTAATCATGGAAACGGCATTGCTTAAGCAGATACTCAAAGAGATCTTCTCCTTTTTGCCTTTGCCAACTCACCAAGGTTTCACAAAAGGAAATTGTTGAAAAACACATCGTACCTTCCATAATGCAAATATAAGCAAGGTAAGAATCAGAAGTCCGGCAAACACACTCAGTAGAATAACCCATAGTGGTACGCGGCCAGGAAGAAGTTCCTTTGAGATTTGAATTATTGTCTGAAAGATGTTAAAACAAGCATTCGTGATTTCTCTAAAATATAAATTGAGGCATCAAGTCAAATAGAAGCTACCTTTATTCATTAGAAACTCAAGTCCTTTTGGTACCAAGTACAACTCAGGACGCGTTCAAAGGTGGGTTCCCATTAGTGAGATGGGATTACCTTTTTTTCTCCCAACCACCTTCCACTCATCTTCAAAATCTGTTGCAGAAGTTGGATGGGACACGGCTACTGGAAGTATAGAACTGAATCTACTTTGACTCTGACTCCAAACTAGCTTTTTAGTGAATAAACCTATTTAGGGAAAAGTTAAAAGGTATGAATGTAAGTGTGCAAATGCGAGTGTCAGGAATATATGAACTGTGATTCTCTCCCACTTGTGGGATAGTCCTACAACTGCAAAAACTTTGCTTCTTCTGCAGTTTGGGTTCTATTCAGTAGATAAACTAGTCATGCCTTGGGAAGCATAATGTGATAAGTAGCACATATCAACTGTACATCATTTCAAGCACATTAAAGCTACAGTTCTAAACCCACATTAAGGTTCTATACCTGCTGACTTGCAAGTTAATACCAGAGGATTTAGCAGAATGCCTTCCAAATAAAAATAGGTTTTATTGGGCTGCAAACTTGTCACTAAAAAATAAATGTCAATCTTAAACATGTTCATTATGTATTAACTTAATCAGGGTGTTTGGAGGAGGATTCTTCAGTGTCAAAACGGAGTTACCAGGCAATCAAATCCCTGCTCTTTTTTAATATGATGCATCACATACATGAAAAAGAAAGAGCTTCAATTGCCCCAGTTGTGCCTGTCATTTTGATTCTGTTGACCTCTCCTACTGATGCTCCTGAATTTAATGAAACTTTCTAATGTCAATGAAACGGCAGTGAAAAATACATTAGGCAAGAAGTAATTTAATTTTATATGCATATCAAATGAAAATGAATATAACTTATATTTTAATTTTTTTCTATATTTTTCATTGAGAATCTGAATAACTATCAAATTGTAAATATTCACTGAAAACAATATAATGCATGATTGTTAGACATTTTTCATTAATTTTTTTTAAAATGCATAATCTAAAAAGCCATTAAATTGACATCTGTAAGATATGGTCTAACATCTTACACACTGTACATCTTGCACATTATACCAGTTATATATATTTAAGTATTTATTATTTCAATAAGCACACTTACAAACACCTTATTTGTTTATTAATCTGTATAATGCCAACTGCTGTATTTAGGTCCCTATAAATATAGTAACTGGGTTGCAAGCAAATATATAGCTAATCGTCTGAATGGTTACTTATAAGTAACCATTTTCTATATTTTCTCTTCTATATTTGTTAGGATAACAAATTAACACCTAATTAACACACGTAGAATAGTAGCCTTAGATAATTTTTCTCCCTTAAGTGGCTTGCAGAATGAGTTTCTGGCATGTATACTAATCTGCTGGAACTCACCTCTATTTTTTCATTTTCTTTCTTCAAGATCATTAATGAGTTTTCACTCCTTAGACTTGCTTTCACAATGAGCTCTATACTGTGAATTTTTGCCTAGAATAAAATGGAGGTGATAATGTTTATCCTTAGTTCAATAGTTCTAAACTCAAAAGACAACTCAGAGAGGAAAATTATGCTTATTGCTTATAAGAGGAAATGTTAGTGGAAGTGCATATAAAAGAATTTGCTGTGATGAAAGAGTAATTTACTACTACACTCCTTTAATGACCTTCATAGGGAAAGTAAGCAGCATTTTGGCTTATTTAACAAAAGTCTTTACTTCTAGAGGTTGACCCAGGAAAAAACTAATGGCATCAAAACCTCTGTATCCCTTAGTGGACCCTGCAACCTCAGTACATCTCAAACCCCACCATATTCCTCAAGACATGTCCAAGTCAGGAAGGAGATATGGACTCAATTCCCCCATCCCCTCTGCCCAATATTGCCTACTGTCTGGACTTGCTTATTGTCCAATGCTTTCAGTTTCTCCTCAAGTCTACAATCTCATGAGATCATTACTTGGGCCAAAGAACAAAAAATGCTTGCAATTTGAAGCCAATGCTAGAACATGGAGAGGTTTCCTCTTCTTAACACTGCTTCTAAGGCAATCTTCTTGTTGCAAAAATGCTTAGAAGAAACCAGAAACATGTGGTATGCAGAGCTACATATAAAGACTACTGATTGATTATGTGCCATCAAGTCATTTTTGACTCGTAGCGACCACATAGATAGATAATTCTTTTATGTCTCCCAACAGTGCACTCCTTGCCTCTGTAATTGAGTCCATCCAACTTGCTGCTGGTCGTCCTCTTCTCTTTCCTTCTACCTTTCTCAATATTAGAGCCTTTTCCAGACAGCTGGGTCTTCGCATAATGTGTCCGAAGTAGGATAATTTGAGCCTGGTCATTTGTGCCCTGAGTGAGAACTCTGGGTTGATTTGTTCAATGATCTATTGGTTTATTTTCTTGGCTGTCCACAATATCCTCAGGAGTCTTCTTCAACACCAAAGTTGAGAAGCATCAATACTCTTCCTATCCTGCTTATTTAAAATTCAACTTTCGCTTCCATAGAGCATCATAAGGAATACCATGGCTAGCATGATTCTGATCTTTGTAGGTATAGACACATCACAACATTTGAATATCTTTTCCAAGGCCTTCACGACTGCTCTACCAAGTGCTAGTCTTGACTGCTTGTTCCTTTACTATTGATGGGTGATCCTAAAAGGCAGAAGCTATCCATCACTTCAATATCTTCATTGTCGATTCTAAGGCTGGTTGTTCTACCTGTTGTCAAAGTTTGATCTTTTTTATATTTAATTTTAGTCCCATTATTTCACTGTGCTCTTTGACTTTTAGTACTATCACATGCCTGGATACTTAGACAACATTCCCTCTGTTCAATGGTGTATTCTCTTTTTAACTTCAGTTACCTGGAAAATTTCCCTGATGAATCAGTAATCTTGATGTGTCTTATAACTGCTCTTTGCCATGGTGGAAGAGGTTCCTTGCCTTATGGTAAAATGGGGAATCTGAGGTATGTGGAAAAAGATTGCTACATTTCTGATTTATGTGAGTCCTGCACATCTCTGCTTCCTTTATAATAGAACTGTTGTCCGTGAGTTTCAGTAACATTTAAAATGAATGTTAATAATTATATCCTTTACTGAAAAAATAGTTAACAGTATCTAGCTAGCCATCACTTTGTAAATACAGTTTTGCTCTGGTTTCAAAACCAAGGTTCCACCAACATCCATGAGAGTTGTAGGTGCTGTCAATATTTTTTTTAGTGAAAGAAGGTAATTCCCTATCTTAGTGAAAGGAAATTAATTATTACTTGGCATGCAACAGAGAGAAAAATCTGAAGGTTATTGTTTTACAATATTACAGTCCCTGTAGGTATGTTTAATTTTTGATTGGCTTCAAACATATGTAGATGGTTGACAGAGAGTTTATGTTGCTCATTGCTTTAGTTTGAAGGGAAGCAAACAAGGAAATAAGAGGAGAATTTGACACATTCTTGTCATAATAATTTCTCTAATTATGAAACTCAGTATAGTTTACCCTTCTCCTATCTGTTACCATCAAGGGCTATTGAGCTAGAATTCCCAAATTCCCAGTATGACTAACAGCAGGGAATTCTGGTGTGAATGAAAATCAGTAACTCCATCAATTCCTCAAAATTTGTACCCATATGCTATTAAACCTAGCCTGTGGCAGCATACAACAGCAATAAAATTACATTAAATTGAATATATATCAAGAAATAACTGTAAAAACAATTGCATCACAATAAAAAACAAACATCAGTACAAACATGAGTTTCAGGAAGAGAATGCCAGCTTGTAAAATTAGGTTATCAGGTTACATTTAAAATAAATTAAAGAGAGTATATCAATGGGAGGGAATGAATTCATCATTGGGGTCACTACTCAGAAGGTGGCCCTGGTTAATGCCAGTGAAGTCTCCATTCTTGCCAGCACCCTCAAAAGATCCTTGGTTGACAAGTGAAATTCCTAGTTCACAATACAATAGGTCTAAGAGCACAAGCAAGTCACACTTCCCCTGTCATACTCCCTTAGTAAATCATGCATTAGGATGTCTAAAGTCATTGCCATGCCATGGCTTGGTCTGAAGCCAGATTTAAAAAAAGGTCTAGATGAACAGTACCATCCTGGATCACCTGGAGTTGCATGTTTACCACATGCTCAACCACCCTTGTGAAGAATGACAGAGACTGGTTGAAGGGATCAAGAAATTTATTTTTTCAACAGAGTGAATGACCATCTTTAAGGTTAGTGGCATTGCCCCCTGAACAAGTTAGGTATTAATGACACAGCATAACATCTCCCTCAGTAGAACCCTCCTAGCCAGTACCAACCAAGATGGATACATATGTGATCTTTGGCAAGATATCATTTTAAATTCCTAATGAACATAAAAGCTCATTTACCTTTATAAAAGTAGGTTTCCAGAGTCTGAATGAAATATTCACATGAGTTATGTTGGATGGAGCCATAGTGCAGTTAATGGATGCACATTCATATGCATCACAGTTCTGTTTAAAAGATCATGGACACACCTCATTAGCATATTTGCAAAATATGACTACCCAAAATAACATAATTTCAGATAACGTGACACCATTCTCCTTATCATGCTGAAATAAGTATGAAATGTCCTGAAAGTAACAATAGTGGCACCAGTAAAGTTCATTCAGTGTTCAGGTCACTCATCATTTTGTATTCAGGAAGGCCCTCACTGCAGGCTATAATAAAATAAATAAAATAAAAATCTGTTTCAAAACCTAGTAAGATAATGATCATTCTACTAATGTTATTTGTTTAATTAATTTATATGGCTGCCGGTCTAGCAAATGTGTCTTTGGGTGCCTTACAACTTGTTAAAACAATAAAAAAATAATATTAGCAAAGAAGAAAAACCACAATGATCACTGAGGATAATGCCAAACAAAACAATTAACAAACAACCCTAAATGGGCCATCTAACCCAGTGTTTCTCAATCTTAACAGCCTTAAGTTGCTTGAGATTCCCCATGGTGGCTGAGGAATTCTGGGAGTTGAAGTCCACACATCTTAAAGTTGTTGAGGTTCCCATGGTGGCTGAGGAATTCTGGGAGTTGAAGTCCACACATCTTAAAGTTGTTGAGGTTCCCATGGTGGCTGAGGAATTCTGGGAGTTGAAGTCCACACATCTTAAAGTTGTTGAGGTTGAGAAACACTGATCTAATCTCCCAATGCCCAGGCCTTGGAGTACATCCAGGTCTTCAATGCTTCATGAAAGGCCAGCAGCGTTGGGGCCAACCTGATCTAGTGAGGTGGGTAGAAACAACCACACTCCCACATATAACATGGTCCCATACCATAAAGGGCTTTATAGGTGACCACCAGCACCTTGAATTGCACCCAGAAGCATACTGGGAACCAGTGCAGCTCACAGAGCAGAGGTGTAACATGGGCATACCGAGAGCCTCACTCATCAACACTGCCTGCACTGCTACACTTTGGACCAGCTGCACCTTCTGGATAGGCTTCAAGGGCACGTTGCAGTAATCCCTGTGAGAGGTGACTAAGGCATGAGTGACTGTGAGCAGTGCCTCCCAGTTCAGGAAGGGGCACTCTTAATTCCTAGAGTGAATTATTTCTGCTGACAAAGACTTACTTTCTTGCATAGCCATAGCAGCCTTATGAACAGGCACCTGACAACATTTTCATGACATGCAATTGTTCTAATTGAGGGACTGAAATTTACTGCCTATATTGTATTTATGGACACTGATGGAAGGGTTTTTTTCCCTCCCTTTTCTTTTAACCTCCTTGTGTGGAGAGATGGTGGAAATCAAATCCTCAAAGCTAAACATTTTAAAAGTCCACATCATAGATTTAGAAACATTTTTTTCCAATTACATGTAAATAAGATATCATTTCTGGCAGAGAGACTATTATAGTTGCATATCATTGCTCTTAACAAAAAGGTAAGAAAAATATATGTATGATTATATTCCTATGATGACAACTTCACCCAAACTTAATATTGTATGCTAAAATTTAATATAAACTATTCCAAGAAAACATAAGTTCAGAGAGACATACTATGTTTGGATCCTTTAGAGGTCTTTGTATTCTTGATGTTTTGAATGAATTGCCCATATCAATCTTTAACAGATCACTCGGGTGGCTGGACTGGCATTTTGCATTCTATCACAAGAAGAAAAATTGTAATTTTATAAGTATTCTGCAATAATTTTAATAGAGGACTTGAGGTGTTTTCCCAAAGGTAACATCACCTGAATATTTTCTGCCCAGAATGCTTTAACTGCTGGAAAAGGGATGGGTGATTGTCACCAATGTCACTGTCCTCCTTCCATTCTCAGAGTCACTTTCACTATTGTGCCAGAAGGCCACTCAACCCTCTGGACAAGATTGAGAAGCATGGGAACTGTGGGGGACAGCAAATCAATAGTCCCCTCTACCCCCATTCTTCCAGATCAGAGTAGACAAATACTTAACCTCTGCTAGCATCTTTGGGCTACTTTAGCAATTATTGTTTTATTTTAGCATTACAATTTCTGGTGCTTATATATATAATTTTGCAATTAATGTGAACACTTTATATAAAGTATCCGAAAAGATACATTGAGCACAGTATTATTTTAAACCACAGTTTAACACTTGGACAAAACTGAAATGTATCAGAAACAGAAAAGTTTTTGTTGTCATCATTGGTAATTATTGTTATATTCATAGGACCTCTCTTTTTGGAGTTGGACCCTGTGCACAATGAGGGACATCCTTTATTTTTATCACTGTCCAGTGGGTTGGGCTGAAAGGTAATGACTGAACCAGTCATCTAGTGAGCAGTTAAATGGGGCTTGAACCTGGCTTCCATAAGTCTCAAACTGGCACCTTCGTTACTATACCTCTCTGGCTTTCTCAAATGCCCAAGTGGCTTTTGTATTCATATTTGCACAATCCAATGCCAATCTTTATAGCAACACGCCCTTACTTGGTACTGTCCAGATGTATTGGATTACATCTCCTATCATTCCAGACAACATGACTCCCATAATTCCCAATCAGCAGATCTCCTTTCTTGCAATGATAGTTGTAGTAGTCTGACACAACTGGATGGAGTCAGGTTGCAGAAGTCTCTTTCATGGCAAGCCATGTTTGAAACTGAAGGCGTTCAAAATAGTGATTTGTATGATGGCACACTAATCTGTTTTCCATGGTTACATCTCATAGATATAGTTAATGTATCTCTTTGGATTTTGATTACATAGAGGTCAGACAAATTATTTACCTAAATTAGAAGATTAGGCAAATCAGAGATTTTTTTTTTCAGGAGGTCATAAACCCAGGGAGAATTTCATAGATTATCTGATTTATTATAATAGCCAAGCAGATTCTCCTGTCTCTTAAATTTATTATTGGCTGTCCATTTTCCTCCTTGGAAATACCAAAGGAAAGAAACACAAGGAACATTTAGTCATTCAAACCGTAAAAACCCATGGTGTGGAAATCAAAAACTAATTCTGAACTGCAGGACAGTGTTATTTGTATATCACTGATTTACCTCTGAATATGATATCCTGGTGAGGTAAAGGATTTGATTTTCATCTGAAATGTTCTTTGGAAATGAGATTTGCATTGCAAGCTGCGGCTGTAAGAAATGTTCACCTTTCTCAATCTAAAAAGATGAATGAAAGGCTAATTAAAGAAAAATGAATGTTGTTGTCCCTTTATTAACAGCTGCTTCAGTCACTACTAAAATGAATAACACAGTGTACAATTTTATTTCATAGCAGTGTATTTGTACTTCACCAAATTTGCATGCAAGACACAACTGGTGGGAAAAGAATTACCTAAACATTATCTTAGAAATCAAAGGTCTATATTTTAAAGTGGAACATATCTCTAAGGTAAAGCAAATAAACTATCTGTGACATAGTTCCAGTGGCCATGTTATACAGCACCACCATAATGATTTGTTCTGGTCTGTGGTTTGTTGTAAATATGTTTAAGCTTCTTACTAATTTCTTACTAAGCTTTCTTGGGTTCAAGGGGAAAAGATAAAGCAAGAAGAATAGGTGGCATTTATTTTTTAGAAAACTGTCCATAAGTGGTAAATGCCTGTAGTTGACTAGAAAGCTTCCAAATCTGAAAAACTATTGTCAGGGAAAAAACCTCATTAGACACGGGAGACAGACATACCAGGACATAAATCACTTCAAAGTTCTAAAAGCTTTATTAAATGTTAGTTCAATAAACGAATAAAATTCAACCAATAGCATACACGGTACTCACTTAGATTCACATTGCAATGAGGACCATCATGAGCAAGCTATCAGGCAAGATAGCTTGACTAAGTGGTCCCGACCCCTTAGTTGCAATCCCTTTTATCCTCAAAAACCACAAACCACAAACCACAGACATCCCACAGACAGTCATCCCAGGATTTGCAACTGAATCATAACTTCCTTGGTGCTAATTTTACCATACTTTACCTTACTTTACCATACTTCCCTGTTTCATTTGTCCTTGTCACGTTCTTTCCCATCAGCAGTTTGCTTAGTCTTGCAAGTTTACTTATTTCCTGTTATTGTCCTAAAGGCCATATCAAAGCTAGCTTGGCTTTTATTAAATGTAATCAAAATTAATATTAAAACATATTAATGGGTACTAATAATTTTCCTCTCACACTATCCTGGGGTGACTTCTAGCTGTACCAAACCACTATCAGTGAACCTCTGCCAACAGTCTAGATTCCTTTCTACCCTCTGTAGCAATTCACACCCACCCCAAATGTATTCTGAAAGTCTGGATATCCTTTGGAGCAGATTTTTGGAGACGTGGAAGGGAGAGTACAGGACAGGAAAAATCTGTGAGGTGGGCAGAAGCTCCATTTGCAGAAAGCTCTATCTAGTTCAAAGAAGACCTTACAAGCTGACATAATAAAAATTCAAGAGATGAAAAAGTGGCACATAAATGTTATGTCTGAAAGTCCACAATCAGAAAAAAATTGCATTGTCCCTTACCAAATAGTTTATATTAATTTCTTCTCCAATATTGTCAGTAGAATTAATTATTGCAGGTATTGTATCATTTGCAGCAATTATGATGTGATATGAACTAGGTTCTCTGAAAAGGAAATAAAATAATGTTAAATGATTTAGACTTACAAAGTAGTCACATATCCCATTTCAGTTATCCATACAAAATGAAATGAAACACAACAGTATGGTAGTTTCATTGTCATTCAAGAAAATGTGTATATGAGTACATTTAATAAACCTGAGATTAATTTTGTTTCTGAATAATACATAATTTTTCTCATCCAATTTATACAGTATGAAAGTGTTAATCCAGTTTAAACCAACTAGTGAAACACAATGATCTAATTCCACCCTCTTTAAATAACACTTTTCTCCCCAAATTAATAACAATGACTGATGAAACATCAAATAATTGAATATTGTCTGAGTGATGGGACAATCCAGATAGTACAGTAGAGTATGCAAGTTCTGCATATGTCTCAGTGCACATATGTATGTTTACTTAAAAATTTACTTTCAGAGTCAAATGATTCCATTTCCTTAAATATAGCCAATTTTTCTCATGTAATATGTAAGATGTGTACAGTTTGATCATTCTATTTACCTAATTGGTTAGTCAATATATGTTTTATGTATGTAAGGTGTTTTATGGACTGGTCATTGACTACAGTATTCTTCTCTCTTTTTTTTTCTCTCTCTCTATAAGACCTTTCTGTGAAAGAGTCTGAAAAATATCCATCTTGTATTTCAAGGTCTCTCAAGGAATAAAAACGAAAGCCAACTTTACCATGATGCTTTAGACATGAAATATCACAAACAATATCTTCTCCCTCCCTTCCTCCCTCTGTTTTACATTAAAGGACGCCATATAATCAGGATTGGGAATAAAAGAGTACGTACATTATCAGAATGGTACTATGGGCAGTGATTAACATCAGCCAGAATCAAGAGCCACTACTAATCCAGAGTCAAGAGAACTAAGGAGCAAGTTAGGATCAAGGGAAAACAATGCTACCATGTGACTCTCTTGGTTTTGGGAGAAGGGGACTTTCTATCAACAGGAGAGGAAAAGCTTCTACTAGATAGTCAGTATAGAAAAATAGATAAAATGTAGTTATACCTTTTAAATATTAATCCACTTTCATATTTTACTGGAATTGAAATGCTTCCTCTGTTGTCTCCAAGAGTCTCATCAAGTTCATCACTATCACTAAAACGAAACATTTTAAAAAGTTGCTTTATGCCACAGTCTATTTTAATCAATAACAGTCTTATGTTTTGCCTTACTGGTACATAAAAATTATTTTCACATTTATTTGTAAAGAAGAGAACACTTGAAGTAGAAAAATGTGTAATTTAGAATCAACTTAATTGCTGAGAGGAAAGTCGAGATTCAAAACAGTCAATTAAGTATGGGATCCAAAACAGTCAGTTTTTGGTCCAACAATCAATATTGTGCTGGTTTTTCGTGATTTGAAGATGTAGCCAGCAACCATTGCAAATTCAGACAAGTAGTGACCAATGAAATCTAAGGGAAGAATGTCAACAGCCAATGAAATCTTAGGTCACTGCAAGATACTGGTATCAAGAAAACGTTAACTCATATAAAGAAGCAAAGAATTTTTTTTTTTGATGTTAGAGGACACGCTGTCAGTCCCCCACCCCCAATTCAAGACCTTTAAGCTTTAACTTCAGTATAGAGGGACAGGTTATTCTACCCTTTGAATTTCTTTAGCTGATAGTAACATTTATTTATTTATTTATTTATTTATTTAGCTAGCTAGCTAGCTGCCCATCTCCCCCATGGGTGACTCTGGGCAGC